TTGTTTTTTCTGTGATGCAATCAGGGCATGGCCAATGCTCCAGCATGGACTAGTGCCCCAGCTGCCACGTCTGTCTTAACGAGCCCAGCTCAGCGAAAGGTGTTGCCTGCAGACCAAAGGTGATGCTTGCAGAAGAGCCAGCCTCCTCATGTGAAAAGCAAAGAGAGAGAAGAGAAAAGAGGAGTATGCACCGAAAAAGCAAGAGAAGCCCCGGTGTGCTTGACGTAGGAAAGGAACAGAGTCACTGGAAAATCTGGACCACAGACTAGTGCCTCCGATGCCCAGAATATTGCAAGACGGTGGTTTCATTCCTTCAGACTTGCGTGGATTCACTGGGGCATACGCATGGTGATGCCTCCACTGTACATGCCCTCAAACGAACCAAAATCCTACAGAACTAAGATAAGCTTTGCTCACATTGAGACCATTTCGAGATTTTGTTCTGTAGGATTGCTCACATTGAAATGAAACGTGCAGGACAAATGAAAGAAAAACACTGGATAAAGAAACGAAACATTGACACACATTTGTTGTTGTTCCTGGATGAAAAGTTTGACGGCATTTTAAATAAAGGAATGAATAAACTGGAGGTGTGGTGACGACGTGGGAAGAAGAGCTGCTAACACTGAGCACCGGCCACCTTATCACGCATGACTAATCCGCCCAACCGGAAAAGTTAACCATGGGCGCCAGCAGGATTGTCGGCATTTCTTTTCTGTTGCTTTTTTCCCAGTTCTAGCCTCCCAGTCCCAGCAAAGACATTTCGAGCTACTGCCCAATCTAATTTACTCTGACCAACGGTGGTCCGTCTCCGTCCGCCCTAGAGACTTCCTAAACAAATACTCTACTGAGTTCCAGCTAGAAGCACATCAATTTGCTGAAGAAAAAGCAGAGCAGCTCAAGAAAGTTTCAATCTTCTCGTCCCTGTCTTAGTTAATGGATGGATGAAGAAGCGATGACGAATACTCCCTACTTTTTATTGGCGACCAGACTTGCCGGCTTGCGCCACTCAGAGATTTAGTTTATTTTGACTCGAAAAAGTGGGGTCACTTCTTAACAAAGACCAATCAGCGAATAACAAGTGCTACCTTCCACATAAGTAACGACTGAGCTAAGAAATGTGCCCTGGTTCGTACAATCATTTAACACGAGATATTATGCGGTTTGGCGCTATTCTCTAACCAAAACTTTGCCGTCTGGTGTTCGGCTCTAGTGCCGGCGGCTCACAACCCAGTGTTAATTTACTTCCACAAAGTTTTACTAGGACTAGCAAGCATTACTATACTCGGACCGGACATTTCAAGTTCTTTTACTAAAGGTCGATGCTTGTATCTTGTTTCAATCTTTCTCAAAGCAATTCAGAGTCTTCCTTTTTTTGCGAGGAAATTTTTTGTCTACTCCCTCCGTCTTTAAAAAGGTGTACTTCCAACTTTCTTGAAAAGTCAAACTTTTTTATATTTGATCGTATTTATACAGTAATAGACCAGCATTTATGCCATCAAATTAGTAGCACTAGGTTCATGACAAAATATATTTTCGTCATATAACTATTTGGTTTCACAAGCATTGACATATTTTTACACAAACTCGATCAAACTTTGAGATAGTATGACCCTCCAACAAAGTTAGAAATACACTCTTTCAAGGACGAAGGGAGTACTCATCATGCCATGGCAGTACCGAGGGCATAGAAATAATAAAGATTACATCCATGTTCGTAGAACACCTAGCGACGACTACAAGCACCGGCATGAGCCAATGGCGCGCCATCGTCATCATCCCTCCCTCACCGGAGCCGGGCCAAACTTGTTGTACTAAACCGTCGGAGAGGCGTCGTGGTAAGGCTCCATGAGACCAGTGCACTAGAACAACAACTGTCAACGATGAAGAGGAGTATATATATAAAATGAACCATATATATTAATTTCCCATATCTCTAAAAGATAACAAGATGACCACTTCATCCCATGCATTACCATGGAATAGTAATATTTCTTATATAGAGAGGTGAAACTAGATTGAATTTTAGATGTATAATCATCTGTTGTCTTGTTGGTTATACAAGATCAAAATTAAAGAAATGATAGATGATCTTCATTAATTTATTTATCTCAACATGCAATCATTTATGGGAAAAGGTTCATCATATCATGCAGCTATGGTTGAAAAAGTCTACCTCAACATGCAACTATGCATGTAATATTATGTACTTATGTATAATAAATATTTTACAACCTCACAATAATAATAAAAAATATCATATGTATTCTAAGTTATAGTTTTTATATTACTTATCGAAATATTCATGTCTCATACAACAAAATATCATTGAAATATATCAGAATCGATTACCACCGCAATATCCGGTACAG